AAGTACAGATAGATTGACCTTGTGAGATAAGCTGCTGTACCAACTCATGATTTAAGCATGACCTGGACTGTGAGACTTCATCCCCTGCTGCACCTAATACTTTCTCAGATGGCTGGCTAGTAGGAGGGAAAGGTGCTAACCAAAAGAAGTGCATGTTGGGCAGATGGTTTGTTTGGATTTCCAGATGGTTTGTTTGGAGGATCAGTCTTGTGATTGATCTGGGGCTCACTAAGGTACACATATAATTGATTATGCTGTGGTCTGGTCGGTGATGGTTGCATGTTCACGCTGCTCTTGCTCTACTAAATCCAGATGCATCCATAAATTTCCATGGAAAATGACAGAAGCACCATTTGCAGAAACAGCAGCAGGCTAAGATGCCTGAACGTATTTGTCCTGTGAGCTGGCCTCTTGAACCTCCGATGCCAGTTCTGTGGGAGCCTTATCGACTGTGTCATTAGCAAGAACAGATGCTTTGAAGCAAAGATCTAGGGAAGTGGCTGAAATGCATTTTTTGATCCTGAAAGGATTGATCAGATCTCCTGTACAGTCTTTCTTCACATGTTTTAGCCACACAAGAGATTTTCTTTCAGGTGTCTTCTCTGCGCTGCAAGACTTCCATTAACTGTCAGAAATATCAACGACTGGAACAGCGAGGCTCAGACATGCTGAGTCAGCAATTAGCTCGGCGGTGGCCTTGTTTAGTTGGTCTCAGCATGTTCACAAGGCTTTTCATTAAGGTCCCTCCAGCCATTAGAATGACCCACTAGCTTCATGTTCAAATGGCATAGCAAGTAATGTCTGCCTTTGCTCAACTAGTCTCTCTCTAAACTGCCTTATAAAGCACAAAACCACATCCCAACAAAACCCGCTGTCAGCTGCAGGGAAGCAGTTGGTGGAATTGCCCAAAGAATGAGCACACCTGTGGCTCATACTACTTGGTATTGTTCAAATAGGTCAAGACAGCACTTTATCACTCCAAAAAGAGACCAGCTGAAAGTCCTTATAAACACAGGGAACATAGAGTTTCAGCAAGCTACTACGCCTCTGAAAGAGGTTGTGTTGAAGTGATATTGGATTGTTTTTGGCAGCATTTCAGAAGATTCTTTGATTACACAAACTGATGGAAATGGGAAGACTTAACAGGTCAAATCAGCCCTGCTATATAAGTAGACACAACTCCACTGAAGTCAACATATTCTCACCAGGCTGTTTAGCTCAGGATGTTTTCCTGGCCCAGCGGTGGCGTGATGCAGAGCCAGATCAATGTGTGCATGTGCACAAATCAAGGTGCAACTATGTAATTTGTGCAACCTCCTGGTTTTTCAGAGCCTTTGACCATCTTCAAGACCTTCAGTGGGAGCTAGGGTTGCTCAGCACCTCACTCGATGAGGCCACTTTTATTTAGATGTCTAAATGAGGGTTGACTCTAGCTTTGGGAAGCTTGGTATGCAGAGGCCACATTTAGGATTGAGGCCCCATTGTGCTAGATGCTGTACAAACACACTGGAAGACATCCCTACCCCGAACAGCTTACAGTTCAAGGCACCAGTTCTGCAATTGGATCCACTCAGACAGCCCCCTGGTACCAGACAGAGCCCCGTTGACTTGACTGGGTCTCTCCAGGGACACAAGGATCTCATGGCAGGACAAAATCTAAGAAGACAAGCAACACATGGAGGATGAGGATACAGTCAAATATACTCCATTTTCAGAAAGTGCTAAAAACTCAGAAATCCAAGTGGTGTTTTTATTCATGACTGGGTGACTTGCCTTGGAAGCAGTTTTAGCTTCAAGATAATTATACTGTTGCTGTTTGTTTTTTTCTTTTGAGGGTATTTTTTTTGGGTTGATTGTTTTTGTTTTTCCTTTGAAAAGGATGGTGGTGAATTATAGAAAGAGAATTTGAATTCAGGAGACCTTGGCCACTGATTATATCTTATCACTGCTTATGCGTGAAGTACAGCTTGTTCTTTTTGCTTCCTCCACTTGTTTATCTCTTGCATCTTCTCCTCCTCCACTACCACTCTGTAGTGAATCACTAGACCCCTCCTCCACTAGAAAACAGCATGGTACTTTTTCAAATGATATTCATTCAGCTGGGATTTGGCAAACACTCTTTGAACTTTTCTCTGCTGATGTTTGCATTAAAGTGGACAAAGTGGACAAATTCATGTGAAGTCAGTGGAATTTCTCAAGGAATGAACGTCTCTCTGTTACTTTTTGATCATATGTACAGGGAGTACACAAAAGTTTAGTATTTTGTTCAGACAAAATTTGACTTTAACTTCATTTAGCTGATGCAGCAGCAGCACAAAATTGATTGTATGGGTTTTTTTTTTTTGCAGGGGAGGAGGGAAGGGATCTGCCTTCTGGTGTTTTGAAACCTGAGCTCAGTCAATCTACAGGTCTCTGTTTGAAGTTCTGGAGATGCATTTGGCGTGATTTTCAAATTGCTCAGTGTTGAGCTAATTCTTTTGTTGATGTTGGTGGTAAAACTTCAATGGGAGCAGACTTAGGCCAATTAAGAGCTTTTCAAAATCCCACCCATCAAGGTCAAAGGAGCTAAGACAGCAGGAGTGCAGTAGGGAGAGGAAACTACACATCTCTAAGTCGTGGTATCTGTGTCAGAGTGAAGGAAAAGAGAAAAGGGCTGTCACATGGTATGCTAATGACACATACCAGCCATAGAAAGAAAAGGAGTACTTGTAGCACCTTAGAGACTAACCAATTTATTTGAGCATGAGCTTTCGTGAGCTACAGCTCACTTCATCAGATGTATGGAGCTGTAGCTCACGAAAGCTCATGCTCAAATAAATTGGTTAGTCTCTAAGGTGCTACAAGTACTCCTTTTCTTTTTGCGAATACAGACTAACACGGCTGTTACTCTGAAACCAGCCATAGAGTAGCTGTGTTCATTTTTGTATTGGACAGGCAGAAGAACTGGCACATGAAGTACAGTAAATATCAGCAGTAGCACTTTCCTTCTAAATTCAATGTATTTCAGAATTCCAGGGCTTCCACATATTCTATTACAGGAGAAGCGCTTAGAGTGGAATTTATTTTGTGGAATTTATTTTAATGCCATGGGTTAGATAAAGATATCGAGTAGTCTAGATAAACCCAGCCAAGTGCTGTGCTGAAGGCCTTTTGCTGCTACATGCATTTCCGAGTCCAGTTACATCTGTGGACTTCGCCTGTGTGATCAGATGTGGTTGGCCTTTATACGTTCCGCTATCTGTTCCCCCTCCCTAGGGACTGATATATGGTTATAGATTGAAAAGTGACTTGTGCGTTTTAAAAAAGCATTACTGTACTCAACACACCTGCTCCTGGAGTTTAATACTGTCTGAGTCATATTTGCTTATTTTCTTACAAAAACAAGTTTGATCCCTTATTTGCACTTCAGGGCCAATCCAGCTACAGCATGGAAAAACTGAGAGCTGGGTTTATTCTGCCTCATGTATCATCAACAAAATTGTCAGCTCAGTTTTGATAGCAAAGTACTTACCATTGGTGATGAAAAGAATCACAAAGAACACAGCTTGATAAGCTTGATATCCAGATAGTAGGATGCGTTTGCAATGCTGGCGGTTAGAAAAATCAACTTCAAGCTTGTAAACTAAGCAAATTTCAAGCAGAATAAATATTACCCCCCCCCCCACAATGTCATTCTTATAGAGTCATTTTTTCGGACTATAACTGCACTGAAACGTGTCCTAATTATGTCAATCTTTGGCTTATGCTTTCCAGTGACATTATTGGTATCCTACCACACTGTGGCTGCTGGTGAAAAAGACATCTCCCTTACTGCTCAGGCTTTGTATTTATACAGTGGGTATTTCTCTTCCAGACACTAAACTCCACAGAAGTACAGAGTTTACACTTGATACAGCACAGCGTTTCTAACTCCCAGTAGTAGCTCTTGATTTATCTGCATTGTTTGCGATGTGGACATTCTTGGCAGGGCTAGTTTTGTCTCAGTCCCTGTAAAATCGTGATCTTTTCACAGAATTCTTTTCTCTAGAATTTTTCTGTCACTATTGGTTTTCACTTCACAGACATATGTCTCAGTTTTCCCAACAGCAGGAACAAAGTTTTCAGTTTATTTGTTATTCCAATCTCTCCCTCCCAACAGCTACCACCCTGTGTATCTCCCCGCCATCAAATGGTGCTGAATGAATGTGCAGTAGTGTTTTTGTTTGTTTTTAAAATGAGAAACACCTCAGGATTGCGCTACTCATGGTATTTTGGTGGAATCCGCGTTGTGAATCCTCTGAGACTATGTTCTGGGCTAGTTCATGCTGGATGTACAGCAAGAACTGACTCACTCATTCTTTCTTCCCATTTTTTGATTCAGTATCAGTAGAAATTAAGCCCAGTATTCATGTTCCGAATAGAAAGGAAATCCCAGTTTGGGGATCTGTTCGAAGCTGAACATGAAGTTCACCTGGCTGTATACAGCAAACGACTCACTAAACAATTGTGTGTGAGTTTCAACCACTTATGATACTCAAAAAGGGTGCCCCTTAATGTCCACAGTGTAAGTTCTAAGGACCAGCATACCCCATGAAGCAAAATATGAGCTGACGTCCTTTAGAAGAACCAAGAGATGAAGCATCACACAAAGAATATATTGTGGGCTTCATTTTCAAACCTAAGTTAGAGCACCCAACTTTGCCCATGGGTACTCAAATCAACATGGGCACCCAAAGGCCCATTTAGGGCTCTTGTTCCCATTTGAGCATCCAGGTATAGATCCAAGTGCTCTAACTTAACTACCTGGGTTTGAAAATTGGTCCAATTAACAGGTGGAAATGTAATCAACCCTGTGGGACAACTTTGGGTTCCTATGGGAGAACTTCTCCTTTGGATGAGAACTATGAAGTGTTATCAGCTGTGCTTGCTAGCATCTCCTGCTGAGAACTGGAAGGTGTAACATTCATTACAAATGCTAACAGGTGACTGGATCAGGTTCTACTTCTTTTCTCCTTGAACAGAGAGTAAAAGCTACTTGCGGCTGCAGAGCAGTGGGAGGAGAGCGGACCAGCGCACCCGGCTCATCAGCCCTGTGATCTACTTGCCCAGGAGTGCTGTCTGCATGGTGTTCCAGTACCATGCATCTGGCAGGAATGGGATAATGCTGCAGGTGTGGCGGGAAGCAAGCCAGGAGAATAAGCTGTTGTGGATCATCTCGGAAGACCAAGGGGATGAGTGGAAAGAGGGACGGATCATTCTGCCAAGCTACGATATGGACTATCAAGTAAGATGATAAAGGGCCATTTGTTCTGAGCTTCGAGTGGATTTTAGTGATACATATGTCAATATTTCAAAGGGCTGTGCCCATTCATCATTAGGGAACCTCCTCGAGCAGAGCTGTTTTCAATGTATTTCTTATGTTGCTATAGTAACTAAATAACACTCTATTTGTTATTCAGAATGTGGCTGTCTTTATAAACAGACTTAGGTCTTTGTTCATCCTGTTGCCTTTTATATTTCTGAAATCTCCCCTTTTACAAATATTTTCCTCCCTTTTCTTTTGGATGATTATCAGGTAATCTAATGACAGATTTCAGAGGAACATGTTAGTCTGTATTTGCAAAAAGAAAAAGAGTACTTGTGGCACCTTAGAGACTAACCAATTTATTTGAGCATGAGCTTTCGTGAGCTGATGAAGTGAGCTGTAGCTCACGAAAGCTCATGCTCAAATAAATTGGTTAGTCTCTAAGGTGCCACAAGTACTCCTTTTCTTTTTTCAGGTAATCTAAGAGACACAAAGCCCTAAGGAGCAAACACAAACAAATCCTGCCAGCAGAAAGGTGGGGAGGTAGGAGAGAGGGAGCCCACTTTGAAGGAGAGAATGAAAAAAAAAGCAAACACCACTTTCCTTACCTTGGCTCCAAGTCTGGATGTTGGGGATGGGGGAGGGTGAAATCAGATCTGTGTGACACCTTGAGACCAGAAGGCATTCAAGGCAAGCAGATAATATGGACTTAAGGGCCCGATCCTGCCTCCATTGTGTCAGTGGGAAGAGGATTGGGCCCACATAGACACAACCCACGTGCCCAGTCCTGCAAAACCTTTCCAACGCCGCCAGCACCCCATTGTGAAGTTAATGAAAGGGTTTGCAGAACAGTGTATCAATCTCTTCTCCAACCAAAGAGCAGCTACGGCTGGCTGGTAAGGCAAGCCAAAACTCAGCCAGCTAGCCAGGGAACATGTGCTGCCTATTCTTACTTATTAGTGAGTCACTGTGCTCAGCACTGTCCAAAACAGAATGGAAAACATGGTCCCCACCCCGTGGAACTTAGGGTCTGACCCTGCAGTCCCGACTACTGCAAAACTCCCAGATGAGGTCAGGGAGAGGTTTCCTTGTGTGAGGACTGCGGGATTGGGCTTCAAGTTATCAGTGGAAAGGAAGCAATGGCTACAAACATGAAGCAAAGGTCTTTGTACCAGTATCCCTGGAGAGGTATTGCTGGTATGTGTGCGTTCGTTTGGCTTTTTAATAAAATACCAGTGCACACAATGTGCTTACAGATAAGGGTACTTGGCGTTTAGGTAGTACTTTGCATGTTAAAAGTGATGTACAGCCATTAACTAACTAACTGAATATTACTTAAATAATGCAGGTATTTTCACTCAGCATTTTTCACAGCTACTATTATCACTTTAAACTTACTCCAGGTAGTAAACCTCTTTTTTATCATGTCCTGTGTCCAGTATTCACTCAATGGGGCAGCTCCTCAGCTAATATAAATCCATGTTGCTCCGTTGACTTCACTGGAACTATGCCGATTAACTCCTGCTGAGCCCATGATAACCAGTGAAACCGCACGTCAGTTGTCCTGGTTTGTAGTCCCTGAAAAATGCATTTTATTCAAACAAACTGCGAGTTGGGAATCCAGCTGTCAATTGATGGGCCAAATGATGAACTCCCTGAGTTTTTACTGAGTCCCTACTCAGACAGAACTCTCACTGCCAGTGGAAGTTTTTCCACAGTGAGGACTGGTAAAACTGGGTAAGGACACCAGCATTTGGCCCCTTGCCATTAGCTTCTCAAGTGTGACTGAAAAGTGGGGAGCACATTTTCGGCTTTTTCCCCCAGGGGAACAAGGACTGCTTGCACTGCTTGGGAGTGGAAGCCTAACGGTGACATTTCTGTTCTGATTTGCTTGTAGATTGTGTTTGAGGGTGTTATACGCAAAGGACATTCGGGAGAAATTGCCATCGATGACATCCGGATTGGCTCCGATATCTCCCTAGAGAATTGCATGGGTACGTAAACATCTGTCTCGCGGACTTATAGATTTTTAGGGCTAGAATGGATCTTCGTGACATTTAGTCTGACCTCCAGCATAACGCAGCTCATGGAATTACACCCGGTGATTCTGGTATCCTCTCGGCTGCACAAAATTAGACAAGGAATCACTGTTGCATGCAGCAAAAGTAGTCCAGTTCATGAGGGCCTTTGTTTCTAGGATTCTGCCAAGGGACCGTAACTCTTCTCCTGCCTGAGCTATAGTGATTTTCTGGATTTCAATAAAGCTACTCTGCGTCTGAAGGAAATCAGGAAAAATAAGTCCCTAGGGAACATAGGTACTGGTGTCAAAGGCATCAAGGGGAATATATATGTCTACAGAGGAAGGCTGAAACAATAGGTGGGGTTATTAAAGAATACGCTGTATAAAAAGGACATGCACAAAATTTAAAAGGAAAGTGCTAGACACAGGAAACCAGCTGCCAGTCAGCATTACATGCTTGGAGGGGCTGATGGGTTCAATAGGAGCCTTTTCTAATGAGAGATAAATAGCAGAGGGGTTTTACAGCAGTGTTAACACAATAACGAAAGAGAAGGTTGTGCTAGAATTCATCATTTCCCAATCCAGGGCAAAAGTCAGGTAGACAGGTTCATTAAACATGAAAGCTACATAAGCTTTAAAAATGTTTATTAGGGGTTTACCACTGGAATGGTAATTTAACCGTTCATCCATCTAGCCTACCCATCCCTCTTTTGTATTTAGATAATGGCAGTCCCCAGATAATGAACGTGGGATAGAGTCTGACATGATGTTCATTTCCATTGATTTCAATGTCACGCAGGGTCTGGCCCTAGAGGAGTGGTGGGTGGAGTTGGACTACGTAAAATATCTAATTAATAGGGTCTGCTTTGGCAGATGTCCATGGGCCTCCCATTCTGTACAGTGGCAGGAGAAGTGCGTGGCTGTTACACACCTCCTAAGGGGCCACACCCAACCGGCCTGAAATCAGAGTCTTTCCATTGGAGCTGGCCATGGCCCAAGGTGGACTTAAAAAGGTTCACATCAGCAAGACGTCTCTGCACAGGTTGCCAGGGGCCTCCTAAATTCAGCAAGATAGGTCACTAGGATGAGCGAGAAAATGAACCACACATGACAGTTGTTAGTCACCTTGCTTAATGCACCTCGGGAAGGCTCAGATACTGCGGTGATAAGGGCAGTACAAGAACCTGAATAGAATAGAATAGAATAGAATAGAATAGAGGTCAACGGCTTGTCCTGGAGTGGTTCTGAGCTCCTTGAGTCCCAGTTTCTTTGAAGCTTTTAATTCTACTGACCGTTTGCCCTTGTGCCCAAAGAGCTAATTTTGCATGTGAAAAATTCTGTGTTGGCATTTGACAAACATGGCATGGCGTCCATAGCATAAAAAAGAAACATGAATGATGAATAATGTTAATAACTTTTTTCTTTTCTATCTTTTATAAAATACTCAAACTTGCTTGATTAGCCAATATTTTGTTTTTATCTACATGTAAGTAAAACTTTAAGTGTTAAAACAAAGCCCTCTGTAAGTCATAAAGGTCCAAAAAATGTTAGACTAGCTCTAAAAATTGCTTCAAACTGCTACATAGATTTACTTGTATCTTTTCAGGAACTTAAATCTGGACCTATGAACCTAATAGTAAATGGTGATATTTTGGTTTTGATCATGCCTGACAAAGGGATTTTTAAATGGTTTTAACTGAAAAATGTAATGCTATCTCGGCTGTAAGGTCACTTCCAAAGCCACCATAGCAATATGAAACAATATGCGCATACCACATTCCCTCTTTGTCAGCACCATAAAAGTAACTGACAAGGGTAACAGGCTACTGTTTTTAAAATGTAATCCTGGGAAGTAATCTGATTCCTTTTCAGCCTGAAAAGAACTCTAATAACTCTCAATAATTTTTTCCTTTGGAAAACCTGTCACTCGTGTTCTGAACTTGAGCGATGATTTCACAATGCTCTATACAGCCACAGCCTGGTTGTATGACTCACAGGCGTAATGCAGAAGTAATCTAAAAATACTCAGAAGTCTATTACTTTTGAGAACAAATAATCACTAATAAGCACTGATTATTGCTTTTCAGATCCAGTAATTTGTAACAGATCACTTCTTCAAAGTAACTTGAAAAATCACGCTCCTTTGTTTATTGGAACTGTAAGACAGAGGGGTGCATGGCTAGCCAGAAGTGACATGTGAAAATTGAAACTAGAGATGGGCTGGAACCCAGACCCCAGATCCAAACACCACCTTTTAGGGTGTTTTGGAATCTGAACACTGATTCAGATTGGAATGTGGTAGCAGGCTCCTATTTCTATGATGACTGAATCCCTGAATTCAAACACTTCTGAACTTGGGGCATATTGTACCCTGAAGTCTGGATCTAAATCCAACTTTTTAGTTCAGACCAATCTCAGACTGCCTATGATGGCATGTGGCCCATTGGTAACTGCCAGTAGCAAATATTACCAACGGCTGGAGATGGGACACTAGATGGAGAGTTACTACAGATAATTCTCTCCCAGGTATCAGCCTTGTAGGTCTTGCCCACATGCTCAGGGTCTAATTGATCACCATATTTGGGGTTGGGAAGGAATTTTCCTCAAGGTCAGATTGTCAGAGACCCTGGGGTTTTTTTTTGCTTTCCTCTGCAGCATGAGGCACGAGACATTTGCTGGTTTAAACTAGTGTAAATGGTGAATTCTCTGTAACTTGAAGTCTTTAAACCATGATTTGAGGACTTCAGTAACTCAGCCAGAAGGAAGGGGTCATTACAGGAGTGAGTGGCTGAGGTTCTGTGGCCAGCAACATGAAGGAGGTCAGACTAGATGATCACGATAGTCCCTTCTGACCTTAAAGTCTGTAAGTCTATGAAAGAGGGGCTTCTGCAATATTGTGAAATCCACACCCCTGCTTCCACTGAGGGGCTCCTGTGAGCAGTGTTTTCTAGATATGGTTACCACCTTTTAAATTAAAAAAACAAACAAAAAAACCAGCACCCTCCCGGGCCCCCAAGGCAAGCCTACCATAACCCCAACAACAAGGTAACTCCACAACAGCCCCTTCAACAGCCACTTATAGTATCTAGAGAGGTAATGATTAATAACTTCATTGATAACAAATGGGCATTTGTTTTATCAGCATATTTTGCAAGCCAGTCTTTGTAGTCTGTTTCGTTTAGCCCATTGTCACTGAATGTGCAGTTTCTGATTCAAACTTCTTTTTTTCCGGGCATGTAGTACGATCACTCGCACCATTTCCCTGATCGTCTATTATTTCATGCCTCACACATGTCCTGACTTTCGCGTGACTCAAACCCCCACTCGTATACACGGGCAGACAGTTGCTGTATTTTCAACAAGTTTGATCTGTTATCGCTTAAACTGCAGAAGTGGGAACACTGCAGCATCTTTAGCGGGACACAGAAACTTTTAACATCAGCTATCGCAGTGTATTGTGATATCATGCAAATCTTTAGACCCACACTAAAGAAACCCCGGCAGATTACATTATTTTTCTGGCAACTGGCAAATCCATAAAAAAAACTGTCCAGTCCGATTAAATTCTGGCCAGGTGGTAACCCTGTTCCCAGACAGTGGCTTGTGGGCCCAGTGTGGAGGGGGCCTCGGTGAGCAGGTTTGGAGAACAAGCCCACCCCGCACTCACCCCACAGCATCAGCTCCTGTCCTGCTCCAGCAGCCAGGCCAAAACTGAGTGGCACTGTGGCCCAACAGGCCAGGTCACAACATCCAGTATGGGGAGCTGGGCCCGACCCTGGGAGACAAGAGCTGCTACTGCCAGTGGGTGCAGGGCGGGCTTGCTCTCCAAACCTTCCTCCTCCACCCCACCCTGAACCTCTCCTCGACCCCAGGCCAGGATTAGGATTGCAGTGCCAGGGCAGAAGGTGTTGTTGCAGGTGGTGAGTGCCTCCTCACAAGGCCAGGAGAATGCAGTGGAGGAGGAGAAGGACGCTGGTGTATGATTTTGGGCCCCACCCAGGAACTTATATACAATAGGTGGGTCGCCTTACTAAAAAGTTTGGGAACCACTGGATTAAGGCTCCCCATTTAGTCCTAGGGGTCACAGATGCTGATGTCGGGCCTGAGGAGATGTCACTGATAAGTAACTAGGGACACATCCGACGTGATCTTCTGTTTGTTTTAAACATTCTCCTCTCTAAAACCAGAACATTTTTTTCCCTTTGCAGAACCCATCACAGCTTTCCCAGGTGAGAACTTCTACATTCCAGGTAAAACGGCACTTATTAGAATAACTTCTCTGATGGCATGATTTCATTTTTGGTTTTTATTTTTTTAATCAGTGTGCGTGCATATGAAAATAATGTGCACTGTTACGAGACAAGAGAAACGGTAAATGTGCAATATGCCTTCCCAACAGCACATGGCACTAGCCTATGCACTCTTCCTGGAAGCAGGGGCGGGGGTAGCAGAGCAGGCTTTGCTACCTCATGTCGAATTAAAGTTTGGAAACCCATAATGGAGACAAATAAGACCAGATAAAATGCTCTGCTTTGCAATGCCCAGTGAGGCGCAATAAAGCTTAAATGTAGGACCCAGGAGCAAAGAGAAACCACCGACAGATTTAACCAGAAAGATTGGTAGTGAGTTAAGAGTAAAAGGGGTGGCAGAGATTTATTTGAAGCATGAAGATGGGTGCTTTCCAGCGGACAGATGCCAAAGCTATTAGTGAGGTACAGAGGCTGCGGACCTGCCTGCAAGGAGAAGGAAATTAGGAGGTAGAATTGGAAGAACAACTGCCACCAGGAGTTTGGAAGTTGACATTCAATAAAAGGGAAACAAGGTGAAATGGTGCATTTAATAGCGTAATGCTAGTCTAAAGAATAGCAAATGGGATTCTTCTCTTTGATAAAACCTACAGAGTAAAACAAAAGGAAGAGGAATTCAGAGAGAGTGCCTGCTCATTAAACATGTTTCTGGTTCAGCGGGGATGCTGTTTTCTACCCTGAAAAAATGTGAGCTGTCCTCTTCTCGGGAAGGTTTTTCATCTCTTTCCCAGTGTCTGATGCTGGCTACCTCTCTGGGAGCGAATGCGTAGGTTGTCAAACTCCAAGAAAGGAAAAGCAGGAATCCTTAGTTTTAAAAAGTTCTGCCTATTTAGAAATGGCCCCTTTATTTTCAGCAGGTTATAATATCCCTCCTGACCATCTCTCCTAAACTGTTGCGTTGAACTGTTAAAAAGTGTTGGGTTTCACTCCAGAAGTAGCTGCTTTTCAGTGATTGGTGAAGCCGTTCCTTTGTCAATAGTTTGCAAAGTGCTTTGGGATCTATGGTTCCAGATGAAAATTATCCAAAGCCCACTGACGTTGCCAGAGAATCTCCCATTGACTTCAGTGGGGTTTGGACCAGCCTGTAAGTTATTAGCATTAGAAGAGGCACACTCAGAGTTAACAGTGAGCTAATGTTATAGTTATGGTAATATTCTTAATGTAAGCGTTCTAGGTATTTGGCTTGTTTATATATCCTTCCACTGAGACCCACAGCCTTGGTGAGAAGCTGGTACAGTCTTTTAGCCCGATGATCTAAAGCCTTGTAACCATTACACAGACCATTCCTATATGCTGCTATATAATGTACTTTCTTTTCCTAAAGGTGCTAACCAGCCTGTGCTCTTGGGCTCTTTCCTATTACAAACTGCCTTTGAGACTGTGTCATACTGGCATAGCGTCTCATGGCACCCAGGCACCACTGGGCTCTCTGTTCCCTTTGCGGAGAACCTCTGCAGAGCATTCAGAGAGAGACTGGGACATGAACTAAAAATAATGAGTGAAATCCTGGCCCTGTTGAAATCAGTGACCAAACTTCCATTGACTTCAATAGTGCTGCGATTTCATTCAACACACACAACCCCCAGCCCATGTGCAGGCACAAGTAGGAGGCGGGTGGCACTGGCTGGAGATCCTCATCCACGAACAGCCTTCCCAGTAGCCGAAACTCAGGGAGGAGGTTATCACCAGCTAAATACCTCCCACCTGTGAGCTCTCCCAGGGCCTGGCTGGTGAGGGGGAAAGGAGAGGCAGATGGGCCAGGCCGGCAGTAGGAGGGAGTGGGAACAAGAGCTTTCTGTGTTGCAGGGAGGAGAGTAGCCGTTTTCTGGCTGATTGTTGTGTCCCAGAGGTGATAGAAATACCAGCAGTTCTCCCCTCCCACCACCCTGTGTTCACGTGCACTGGTTTGTTCACTGTGACTTAACAGCAAATCCCAGTGTTTGGTTTCTAGATGGCGAAAGTGGTCAAGGAAGGCTGAGTCTCAGGCTAAAGCAGAGGTGTCTAAAGAGCACTTTCTAATCTGAAGGCTGCCAAGAGAGTTCTATTGCTACGATTGTTATTACTCCATACGTGCTCTGGGCCACCATCTCCTTTACTGCTGAGGTACTGCTACAGGTCCCATCATGCACTGCTCCATCTCAATGCAGAGACTGGGCACACCGATCAAGATGGAGTGTTACATGGTAGGACCTGTGGTCTCCACGGCTCTCATCTCTATTTCAAGGAGGAGGATGGCTGGAATAAACCTGTCCTTATGCTAATTAGGTGCATCCCTTTGGCTCCTGGCAGGACAAAGTTCATGCTCCCCTAGATTAATGTCCTTTTAATATCCAGCAAAATTGCTTGCTCAAGGGGCAGATTAAAAAACCCAGATGGTTTAACAATGACCTGGTGTGTGTGCGTGGGCTGTGGTAGGTCTAATGTACATCTCAGCAAGTGGGTCAGGCTTTGATAAGACCAGTCAAGTGTGCATAAACTATGACCCCATTTGAGATATGGAACATCTGACCCTAACAAAAAAGGCATTACAAGATCCAGTGTCTAGAAGCTGAATGAAGCTAGAGAAATTCAGGAGCAAGTTTTTAACCATTACCACAACTTTCCTGGGGACGTGGTAGATTCTCCATCACCTGATGGTGTTAGATGGTGTAGTTATTCTACATCATTAAAAATGGATGTCTGTCTAGCTCTAGTTCAACCAGCAAGTATGGGCTTGGTGCAGGAGTCATTTGGTAGAAATACTATGGCCTGTGTTATACAGGAAGTCAGACTAGATAGTCATAATGGCCCTTTCTGGCCTTGGAATCTACAAAAAACCCTGCCATGTTAATAGTCCATATTGGCATATTTTTCAGTGATTTCTAAGTGGACCGTGTATCTGTGACATGGTTGTGGCACAGGGCCACAGACCACATTTTAGGGGTTCTAGACATATTATTTTCTACTTTTGTCCTTTATGATTTTTATTCTTACCTAACTAAATCTTTGGTTTAATGTTAAATGCTGTAATTGCTGTGTGGCTGGGAGGGTGGGGTGGTAGTGGGTAGACAGCACAAGGGTGAACATCAGCACATGCTGCACACACACAAAACGTCCCAGAGCCTGTGGTCTGAATCAGACTTACAATGATATGCATCCCAAGTCATGCATAAAAGAAAGTGCACACAAACCTGACGGAAACAGAAATGCAGGGGTTTTTTAGATCTAGGGCTCTAATGAATGAAAGAAAAGAGAGAGCGTGGGATGTGTGGGAGAACATAAGGGAGACCAGAAAAATTATGATGTTAAGAGGATGGGTTTTTTTCATCTTAGCAGAGCATTTATCTATATATAAAATAAACGTTCAGAAAACAAAGAGCCAATAAAAACAGAGCTGATAACATCAGTGTACTCTATGCATGTACTGAATGACTTGCAGCTATTTTTAGCAGTCGACAGCATAAGGAAGAACTACTGTTAATGCTACAAGTTGGTTTTGTTAACGCTTGGAGACAAATGAGTGGGATTCCTTAACTAGTTGAGTTCCTAAATTGACTTCCCAGGCCTTTGCTATCTCCTCAGTCTACTTTGGGCCAATGTGATGTAGTAATTAAAGCAAGAGATCTGGGTCTAGATCCTTGGTTCTGGGCTGAGCTGCACTCAGTACTGGACCTGAGTGGGGTGGAGCAGAGGTGGCTTGAAGCCATCTTTATGCCCTCCCAGTTCTGAGCTGGCCATGGCCTGGCTCAGTTTCTGGAGCAAGTTAGAGTAGCGTAAGGGTTGGTCTAAGTTGCACTGGGGCTTAGCCTCAAAGGAGCTGGGTATCTTTGGAGTCCAACGGTGCTCTAGTCCCACTCTCTCTCCCCCCAGCCATGCCAGCTGCACCAGTGGGGCTGGGAAGGGGTGGTATAGAGTTGACTGCACAGGCCCTATACCATCTTCTGGGGTTAGGACTTCTAGTTTCTCTTCACATTTCTGGCCCCACCTGATGTACAGCCCTGGGTGTTAACCTCTCTGCCTCAGTGTGCTTCTCTAATGAATTCATGTCTGGTAGTCAGGGCCTCCTGGACTCCATGGCACAAAGAGACCAAACTCTGTAGCCACAACCCCTAAAATCCACTGTGACATTAACTGATCACCCTTCTGTTCCCCTCTCCTCAGTCCCCACACGTGCGATGGCCCAGACCTGAAGGTGTTCAAGGATGTGAAATTCATGGGCAGTAGTTTTCAAGGATAGGTTCTTTCTCTGTACTTTCCTGAGAGGTTTAGCTCCCACGGTGTTCTTCAGGCAGCCGGGCTCAGAACCTCCTTTTCCCCTCATGCGTGCCAGGGAAGGGGGAGCTTATACCTATCTTCAGCAGCTCATTACCCTGGCTCCCAAGGTCCTGGCGGCTGTACTGTTTGTTCTCCAGGCCGCCTGGCTTGCCAGCCTACACCTCTGGTTCCCCTTTGCCTGGCTGTAAGCTGGCCTCCAGCTCTGGCTTCCCACCTGCTGCCCAGTTACATGGTACAGTGCAGAGCATGAATTCCAATCAATGCCCTCTTGTGGAGAAATCTGGAGAGCAAGAGGCAGGTTCCAGAAGGGTGGGGAGAGAGACTCAAAATCAGGTGCTTGGCTGCAACAAAATGCCAAATTCTCCAGCAAAAATGCTGAACTTCAAGGGATCTTAGGAAAATGCCAGATTCTACAGATACTGAATTGCAGAGTCCACTGGGCCCTGACTGAGGTGAATGGTTCAGTTCACACCTCTCAACGCTGTTGTTTCAGACTCTCTGCAGACTCAGGCAGGCATTGCCGTCTTGGTTTACACTATTCGCATTTTAAGATTATGTCTGCAAGCATAAAGGGACAAAACCTTTTTTTGAATGAACGTTGAGATTCTGGGCATGATTTCTGAGGCCAGGAGCAAATTCGGTATTAAATTCCATTATGTATCTAGGGTCATAGCTCAGAGTAGCTATGT